CTGCTCAAATAGAAAACCAGGCAGCCATATTACAGGTAATTCTTGACTTATAACTATAACTTATAACTATAAAAGCCCAACATTTCTGTTGCTAAGTGAGACATTTGTTAAATGAGTTTTGCTCCATTGTATGACCTTTCTTGCCACATTTGTTAAGTGAATCATTGCAGTTGCTAAATTAGTAACATAGAACAGAACAGAACAGAATAGAATAGAATATTGGCCAAGTGTGATTGGACACATAAGCAATTTGTCTTGGTGAAAATACTCTCTCAGTATACATAAAAGAAAAGATACATTCGTCAAGAGTCGAGAATCATAAGGTACTTAATGATAGTCATAGGGTACAAAAGCAATCAAATCATACTAGGAAACAGTCAATATAAATCGTAAGGATACAAGCGACAAAGTTACAGTCCTACAGTCACAAGTGGGAGGGGATGGGTGATAAGGAGTGATGAGAAGATTAATAGTAATAGTAGTGCAGCATTTGTAAATAGTTTGACAGTGTTGAGGGAATTAGTTGTTTAGCAGAGTGATGGCTTTCGGGGAAAACTGTCCTTGTGTCTAGTTGTTCTGGTGTGCAGGGCTCTATAGTGTTGTTTTGAGGGAAGGAGTTGAAACAGTTCATGTCCGGGATGTGAGGGGTCTGTAAATATTTTCACAGCCCTCTTTTTGACATGGTTGTTAAGTGACCCTGGCTTCCCCATCGACTTTCAAAAGGTCGCAAAAGTGAATCACTTGACTCCAGGACACTGCAAACCATCATAAATATGAGTTAGCTGCCAAGCATCTGATTTTTTTTTTATCATGTGGCCAAGAGAATGCTACAATGTAGTTGCGCAAAGCGGTCATAAGTCATTTTTTTCCCCAGTGAACTTTTAATATTCACTAAACAGTTATCAGTCAACAGTTTTCCCATGATAACTAATGAGCCAATTTTTTTTGGAAGACAAGCTTAGGCCATTTTCTGCCATTCCATTGATCTGACTGTTTCTTTTAGCTATGTTTGCATCTCCAGACTTTTTAAATAAACTGCTGAGTATGTTGCTTGCTATTTTTATTTTCTCCGAATTCCATGGAAATAAAGAGGGCTGTAGGCGCTCTGGTGGTTTAGTGTCTCTTTTCTTTTCTTTTTTCTTTTATAACTTTTATTAAATATAATCTTTAAAAACATTGAACGTGGTAGACCACTTTGACATTTTTGTCATTACATATTATGTTAAATACTCTAGAAACTTTTGTACTTTTATATATACATATATACATTTAATCTTCATACATTTTAATTCCTTTCTGTTACCATTCAGGTAAGTCATAATCTCCCATATCCTTCCTACTGCTCTTTTATTCCATTTTGCAAACTCGCTTTCATTTCCCTCCAGTGGTAAAATTTATTCCATATTGTATAGTATTCTAACTCATCTTGATCCTTCAATTCCAATGTCAACCTATCCATTTCGGCACATTGTAAGATCTTATCTATCACCTCGCCTTCCCTAGGAATTTCTCTAGCCTTCCAATTTTGGGCAAATATCATTCTTGCCACCGTAATTACATGGATTATTACATGGTCACCAACAGTGGGCCAGGGACCACTGGTGGTCCGCGAGAAAATTTTGGTGGTTCACAGAGAAATGTCATGCCCAAAGCACCCCCCAAAGCAATTAATCCAGGCTGCACGGGAACGCAAAGTTGCACCACCCACATGGCCTGCGGGAACACAAGGCTTGCATTGCTTGTATCGCGAATAAAACAAGGTAGTGAGGGGAGGGGGAAAGGGGAGGTGGGGGGGAAACTTGTCCCATGCACCTCGCCTGGCCACCAGGCTGCTTCTTTCCACCTCTTTCTTCTGCTTTTGCCTGCACGCAAGGAAAGCAGCAAAGGTCTTTCTTTCTCTCTCCCAAAACCACCAGAAATGAGTCTTTGGAACCCTGCAAAGCATCCTGCTCCAAGAGGCTGCGCAGGCAAAGACTGATTCCTGGTGGAGTTTGGGGGAGAGAAAGAAAGACTTCTGCTGCTTCTGCTGCTTTCCTTGCATGAAGCTAAAAGTCTCTCTCTTTTTCTCCCTATGAGAATAGAACTGGAGACGATATCCTGCAATCCCAAATAAAGAACGTTTGATTGGTAGAAAAACGGGATGGGGAATTTTCCTGCAGACTTTTTTGGGGGATTTTCCCAGGGTCTTTGGTCCACGGGGTTTAAAATTATGAATTTGGTGGTTCCTGAGGTCCAAAAGGTTGGCGGCCCCTGGATTATTAGGTAGGTATCAACTTTACTGTACTTCTCTGCCATAATTCCCAATAAGAACATCTCAGGTTTATAGTTTATTTTTAGCCCCGTCATTTCCTCTAGCCACAGCCAAATTTTATACCAGAACTCCTGAGCCTTTTTACAGGACCACCATACATGGTAATATGTGCCCCGTTCTTTCAGACATTTCCAACAATTAGGTGATTGGTTTCTGTACATTTTGGCTAATCTTGCTGGTGGGAGATGCCACCTATAAAATATCTTATACAAGTTTTCCTTGTATGATGTGGCTAATGTTATTAATCCAGGTAAGTGCTGCTGCCTGATAGCATAGTTCCCATTCTGGAAGTCCGAATCCCCCTCTTTTTTCAAAAGCATCCTCAAAACAATGCTATAGAGCACTGCACACCAGAACAACTAGATACAAGGACAGTTTTTTCTCCGAAAGCCATCACTCTGCTAAACAAATAATTCCCTCAACACTATCCAACTATTTACAAAGTCTGCATTACTATTACTATTAATCTCTCATAACTCCTTATCACCCATCTCCTCCCACTTGTGACTGTAGGACTGGAACTTTATCATTTGTATCCTTATGATTTATATTGACTGTTTCCTAGTATGATTTGATTGTTTATTTGTACCCTGTGACTATTATTAAGTCTTGTACCTGATGATTCTTGACAAATGTATCTTTTCTTTTTATGCACACTGAGAGCACATGCATCAAGACAAATTCCTTGTGTGTCTAATCACACTTGGCCAATAAAGAATTCATTCATTCATTCATTCATTCATTCATTCATTCATTCATTCATTCATTCATTCATTCATTCAGTCTTGGAATGTCAAAAGTAGTCCAAAAGATTCTAAGTGGGACAATGGAAAGGCAGATGTGTGGCAGGAACATGAAAAGGCATTTCCCCTAGGGCAGGGATGTCAAACCTGAACAAGACACTGCCATTTGTATCACTGTTGTTCTTAGAAGCATTTCTTCTTTAAAAATCTCTTTCTTTAAATTCTTCAACTCACCCAGTCAATTCTCCCTTCTGCTTTTTTAAAGGGGAAGTGGGAATAACATAACTGGTTTCTGCCTAATTTTTTTTTTCTTTAAGCAGGAAATCCTGTATTCTTTGTCATGCAAAGTTACCAAATAACAGTACGCACACACACAAAAATCAGAATTTCTTGTTCTCTAAAACAATTGGCAAACTTTTAGATTGAGAGCTGGGAAAGAGGCCAGGCAAGTTGGAGATTCTTCTTGAAGTCTCTGAAGCTGGGGGGGAAAACTTGATAAAGTTCCCTCTGTCTGGACAACAAAATCTGTACTGTTTCTGACCATTTGAGCAGCCACATGCACATTTGTGGCCCACTAGAGGTCATTTTGCAGGGCTCTGGCAGTGCTCCTCCTGTCCCTCCTTGCACAAAGGCGGAGGTAGCGGTCCTGATGCTGGGTTGTTGCCCTCCTACGGCCTCCTCCACATCTCCTGATGTATTGGCCTGTCTCCTGGTAGTGCCACCATGCTCTGGACACTACACTGACAGACACAGCAAATCTTCTTGCCACAGCTTGCACTGATGTGCCATCCTGGATGAGCTGCACTACTTGAGCCACTTGTGTGGGTTGTAGACTCCGTCATGCTACCACTAGAGTGACAGCACTGCCAGCATTCAAAAGTGACCAAACCACCAGCCAGAAAGCATAGGAACTGAGAAGTGGTCTGTGGTCACCACCTGCAGAACCACTCCTTTATTGAGGATGTCTTGCTAACTGCCTATGCTTTCCACCTGTTGTCTATTCCATTTGCACAACAGCATGTGAAATTGATTGTCAATCAGTGTTGCTACCTAAGTGGACAGTTTGATTTCCCAGAAGTGTGATTGACTTGGAGTTACATTGTGTTGTTTAAGTGTTCCCTTTATTTTTTTGAGGCAGTGTATATCTATCTATCTATCTATCTATCATCTATCTATCTATCTATCTATCTATCTATCTATCTATCTATCTATCTATCTATCTATCTATCTATCTATCTAATCTATCTATCTATCATCATCTATCTATCTATCTATCTATCTATCTATCTATCTATCTATCTATCTATCTATCTATCTATCTATCTATCGTTATCATCTATCATCTATCTATCTATCTATCTATCTATCTATCTATCTATCTATCTATCTATCTATCTATCTATCTATCTATCATCTATCTATCTATCTATCTATCTATCTATCTATCTATCTATCTATCTATCTGGTCAGCTCATCCCTTTATTCGCTCAGGAGGAAATGCTCACTTTCTGACAAATTTGTACAAGGACCACTCTGCCCCCAGACATTCAAAGGAGAGGAAGCTGGAAAACAAGTCTCATTTAAAAAAAAAATTCAGATCAGATATAATTGCTTGGGATACCTTAGGCCAAGGGTCTTCCAACTTGACAGCTTTAAGACTTGTGGATTTCAACTCCCAGAATTCCTGAGCTAACATGACTGGAGGAGGAATTCTGGGAGTTGAAGTCCACAAGTCTTAAAGCTCTCAAGTTGGAAGACCCTTGGCCTAAGGTTTTTCTCTCTTTTAAAGATTTGATCTGACATTTTTTGATTACACCCTACAAAGTCCCTCTCCCCTCCCGCTCCCTTGTTCTTGATAGCAAACCAAAGTTTGGAAGGCTTCAAAAAGATCCCGAGATGCTGGAATGCTGCGTCAGGAGCTGCAAATATCAGGCTCGGGCAAGGCACGCTATTCCCTGAAACGCTCTAAGGGGGAAGCGAAAAAGGGTTTTCGAAGAAGAGAAGAGGAAGAATTAGAGAGACCGCTTTGAACTTGGCGTTAGAGAAAAATCCGCGCTGCTTCCTCGCAACCAATGAGCCGCTCGCCCGACTCTAAGAAAGAAGAAGGGAGCCCGGGACGCTACTTTTAGACGAAACTCCGGCTGGGTGAGTTCCCTTGTCCTTTCCCGGGCGGTTGTCGGGCAAAAGCTGGGAGAACTAGAGGTTGGAGCGGGCCAGGCCCAGAGGGAACCAATGGGTCAACCTCAACCGGTTCGCTCCCCTTCTCCCTTCTCCTAGACTAGACCGCGCGGGTGGCTTGTTCACGCTTAGCCCACCCGATCCCAAACCCAGCGGCTGAATCCAGGCAAGGGAGTAACTTTCGTTAAGTTTTTCAGATGAACGCTTCCCCCTCCCCTCCAGCTTAGAATCTGCGCGTTTCAAACCAACCCCCTTGGTTTTTGGTTCAATGGATTCTGCTGCGCCCTGAATTAAGTAACGGGGTCGAATGCGTTGCGCGCATCGAATAAAGCTCTTCAGAGCGCCGACTCTGTCCGCAGGCGGCGGAGGGCTGGGGGGAAGGTCCGGATTTTGGGGAGATTCAACCTCTGAAGTATTGGTGTCCAAGGTGGAGAAAGTCTTTTGGGAGTTGCTAAAAAGGGGGGAGCAAACTGCGTTTAGGAGAGGGAGCGAAATAAAACTTGGATACCGGCTGGGCTGCGGCATACTTGACCCAATGAATTGTTGGACTCTCTGCTTACTATTAGCATGAATTTGGCACCCATAGTAAAACTGACATCTTAGCCTATTTCTTCTGCATTACCATTGGTCGCACAGTCAGTGGTGTTGTTTAATTCTTTATTGGCCAGGTGTGATTGGACCCATAAGGAATTTGTCTTTGGTGCATATGTTCTCTCAGTGTACATAAAGAAAAAAATAAAATACATTCATCAAGAATCATAAGATATACAACACTTAGTGATAGTCATAGGTTACTAATAAGCAATCAAATCATACTAGGAAACAAATAAAACAATATGAATTGTAAAGATACAAGCAACACGGTTATAGTCATAAGTGGGAAGAGAGAGGTACTAGGAAGGATGAGAAGAATAGATTTACAGTCTTAGTAAAAAATCTGACAGTGTTGTGGGAATTAGTTGTTTAGCAGAGTGGTGGCATTCAAATTTAGCATTTTTATGCACCTATCAAATCCTTCCCAAAGATCTGATAAGCAGATGTTGTTATTTGAAGGTATCATCAAGGCTATATAGAACCTGTTCCAGGTAAAGCTGTTTTTTTCTAGGTTTCCTAGATTTGTTTTTTTGTTTTTTTAATGAAAATAGGGCTCTCTCTCCCCCCCCCCCCCTTTTAAATGTTTTTTGGCCCTTAATAGTAGATGGAAGCCGTACGGATTGAATTGCTGTGTACCAACCAACCCTGCCTTTTAAATCTTTGTCTTTGAGGGATGCTTTTACCAAACGTTAAATTGGGTTCAAACATCAAAGACTGCTTTGTGCAATGAATGGACTAAACTGATCTGCACGATTGTCTTTTCGTAATGTGTCTTGTTCTCCCAAATTGCTCCTAACTTCCATTTAGTTAGACGTTCAGTTAGACCAGGGATCGGCAACCTAAAACACTCAAAGAGCCATTTGGATCCGTTTCCCACAGAAAAAAAAACACCGGAAGCCACAAAACCCTTCCCGTGACTGACTAACCCTTCTCCTGAGAGGCCACAAATCAAGTGTATATAGTTGAATTAAAGATTCTGCTTTCTTCTGAAACATTTCTTTTCTTGGATTTATCCATGGTTAGCCTACCAGGGGGTCGAAAAGCTCAATAAATCGCATCCCGGCGGGTGTCGCACATTGGCAGTTGCGGTGTATATTTTGAGAGACGGAGCCACAGCAGAGGGATGAAAGAGCCACATGTGGCTCCAGAGCCTTGGGTTGCTGACCCCTGAGTGAGACACACTCTCTATAGAGCTTCTGAAAGATGATTTGTCTAATCTTGTTGGAGGTTCAGACATGATCAGTTGTCTTGTCAGATCGAATTTGGGTCAGTCACTGGGACCACAGATTTGCTCTTCCGAGCTTTCGGACCATGCTTGGAGCCCATCTTGTCATTGTTCTGGACGTATAATGGAAGATCCTCTCTTTGCTTTTCTCCCAAAGACATGAGATTCTCCCTGCAGGCAATATTCCCAGAATAATATTATTTTCACCCTAGGAAAATGTAACCGCTAAGCAGTGGTAGGATTCACATTTTTTTTACTACCGGTTCTGTGGGCGTGGCTTGGTGGGCGTGGCAGGGGAAGGATACTGCAAAATCTCCAGTCATAGGTGGTATTTGCCGGTTCTCCAAACTACTCAAAATTTCCATTACCGGTTCTCCAGAACTGATCAGAACCTGCTGAATACCACCTCTAGGTCAGAGATGACATACCATCCTATGAGTCAGCAACCTTTAGAGAGTGTTGTATGCAGTGGTGGGATTCAAATTTTTTTTACTACCGGTTCTGTGGGCGTGGCTTGGTGGGCGTGGCAGGGGAAGGATACTGTAAAATCTCCAATCAGAGGTGGTATTTGCCAGTTCTCCGAACTACTCAAAATTTCCGCTACCAGTTCTCCAAAACTGGTCAGAACCTGCTGAATACCACCTCTGCCGCTAAGCTCCCATCTGCGGCTCTAAGGACCTGCAATTTAAGGGTAAATTTAAGGGTAAAAGGTGCTGTAAAGTGGATTCCTTAGAAGCTTCCTCTGAAGCAGAACCTAACTACTGAGGAATGGGGAATGAAAAGATGGGCATCGTGTCTTTTCTACATTCTCTCTCTTTTCCCTTCCTTTCTATGGTCCCCAGTATTGTTGGATTTGCTGCCCTAAAGGAGCCGGCCCTTCTTGCAAAGCCCAGCATGGATTCTTCTCAAGTCGTGGGCCCAGAGTCCTTGACTTCCACCACTCAGACTGATCTTCCAGTCCCACTGAAGAAGTTTTATCAGGGGGAACCTCTGGCCCTGGGGGTGAGTATGGAGGAAAATGGAATGAGGGTTCCTCGCGTTTTGGAAATTCCCAGGTCCCCCATTCTGCTGCAATAGGACCATGAAGACTCTTTGTTAAGCATAAATGACAATTTTTCATCCATTTGTTTTATTGGCCAAGAGTGGTGTGGGGCCTAGAGGTGGAGCTCTCGCCTCACAATCAGGAGGCTGTGAGTTCGATCCTAGGTACAGGCAAATATTTCTCTCTCTCTGGGCACACAGAGAATATATCTGCTGAACAAAACTCCACATTGGTGACAATAAGGGCATCCGGCCATTAAAACGCTGTGCTAGCTCCATTCAGTGGTCCAGAATCCACCCCACAAGGGATTATGGGGTCATTAAATGAAGATGATTTGTTTTATTGGCCAGCTAATGTAACATCTAAGAACAATATAATAATAGCAATAGCACTTCGACTTATATACCGCTTTACAGTGCTTTTACAGCCCTCTCTAAGTGGTTTACAGAGTCAGCCTATTGCCCCCAACAATCTTGGTCTTCATTTTACCCACCTCGGAAGGATGGAAGGCTGAGTCAACCTTGAGCCTGGTGAAATTTGAACTGCCAAATTGCAGGCAGCTGGCAGTCAGCAGAAGTAGCCTGCAGTACTGCACTCTAACCACTGTGACACAGAGGGTCTTATAACCCACTCCCTCTTAAGGGAAATTGGCATGAGGCCTAGAAAAAAAATCATTTTCTTAGTTTTTAATCATCCTTTTTCTTTACTATATATATGGATTGAACATAAAGATGCTTATGCCTGATGAGTGCCAACAAGGATGAAATTGATTGTGTAGTTGAAATTGATTGTGTGCCAGTTGCTAAGGTGACTTGAAGAAAGAAATAGGTTCTCCAGAGGCTGGTGAACAATAGTGATCCAAACCAGGGGTCTCCAACCTTGGCAACTTTAAGACTTGTGGACTTCAACTCCCAGAATTCCTCAGCCAGCAAAGCAAAACTGAGGAATTCTGGGAATTGAAGTCCACAAGTCTTAAAGTTGTCATGGTTGGTGACCCTTCATCTAAACCAGTGCCGAGAGATGCTGGGAGTTGTAGTTCAGTGACATTCAGAGTTTGGTTGGTTCCCCACTCCTGACTATCACTGATCTTGTGATTTGTTGTGGCCTGCCGGCGGCTGACAGAGGTGGCAGCAGAATTGGACACTAACGAGGAAGTTGGGGAGGAACCTGGGCTGGGTCTGGAGACAGAGGAAGATCCAGAGGAGGGCTCTGCATCGGAGGCAGAGATGAGGCCAGGGCAGGCTGGCAGTCAGCAGCTGCCTTCAGACTCAGACAGCAGTGATGCGGGGGAGCTTCTGTGCAGAGCTAGCAGAAGACGAGAACAATTGAGAAAGCAGGGTTGATTCAGGCGTAAGGCCACACCTCGGAGATGATTGGCCCCTCCCATAGGACATAAAAGAGGAGCGAATGGGACATGAGCTTTTGCAGGAAGCAATTAGTTCCTCTGGTCGGTTCAAGCTCTGAAAAGTCCTGTTTGACTTTGTGTCAGGTTTGGCTTTGCTCCGCATCTGGCAATTAGTTCTCTGGCCATATTCCAAGTGCGATAATGTGGGTGTTTATCAACACTCTCCTGAAAGACTGTTTGTGAATCCTGGCCAGCGGTGAATGAATGTAATTCACAGCTGTAGAACTAAAAGAGTTTTTGCCGAGATTAAGATTGTGTTCTATGCTTTCTAAGGAAGTCTAGGTCAGAACCTGATTTCTTTCTCTTTCTCTTTCCAGATCACACAGATATTCATAGGAATCATAGGAATTATTTTTGGGATCCTGCTCAATGTAATGGAAGATCATGTATTTGCCTATATTCAGATAATGATACCTTATTGGAGTGGAATCTTGGTAAGTTTACTTAATGGTGTATTAAAAAAAGGTCAACAGGACAACCAGGGATATCCCGGTACATATCATAGCAGCCTCAAGACAAACTGGCCTTAGATGAAGGGTGCTATAGCTTAGCAGCTTGGCTAGCTTCATGTTGGGGCTTATGTTTGTTCTCCAAATTTCAGAAAACTGCTGAACTAAGAGATTACAAACGTTAATGAAAGCAATTTCCTTGGCTCTCTTTCCTCATTCCCAGCTCATTCAGCAATTCTTCCAAATTACAATATGGGGGACAGACCAGTTTTCAAACTTCTGGCCATCATAATCATTCCAAAGGTCCCCATATTATCATTCCAAAGGTCCCCATGATCATGATTTGTTTGTTTGGCACCTGGTGTGCATTTTACAATGGCTGTAGGATCCTGTGGTCATGAGATCACAATTTGCACAATCAGCTTCTGACATGTTAAGTCAATGGGGAAGTCAGGAGGAGGTTGAAAGCCACATTCATGTGAATTTGTGCTTCAAATGACTTATTTGATTTGCTTCATTACTGCAATTGGACGTCTCTCAGTATCAGTCAGCACCGTCATGTCACATAACACTTAATAACTGCACCAAGTTGCCCATCTCAATTTTGGTGGGTCAGGACTGCCCATATAATCATTCTGAGTATTAGTTGCCATTTATGGCTACACTTCCTAGTGGTTTCATTCAACTCGAATCCTGAGTCTGAGAGTTGTTCACAGCATCTGGAGAGCTGTGTCCTATCTTGCCATAACAAAATGGGGAAATGCTGAATGCTAGTGTAGGGCTACACAAAATGCCTCTGGTTGTAGTAGCTCCTTTCTTTAATGGCTTCTCACGTTACAGATTAACAGAGTTGGGAGGGACCTTGAAAGTCACCTAGTCCAACCCCCCCCAACCCAAGCAGAAGACCCTACACCATTTTTGACAAATCTCTTTTGAAAGTCCAGTTGCTTCTTGAAAGCCTCCAGTGATGAAGTTCCCACAACTTTCAAAGGCAACTTCTGTTCCATTGGTTGATTGTTCTCACTGTCCAGAAATTTCTCCTTATTTCCAGGTTGAATCTCCCCTTGTTCAGTTGCCATCCATTATTCCTTGTCTGACCTTTGGGTCCTTGGAAAACAGCTTGATCCCCTCCTCTCTGCGGCAGCCCCTCAAATATTGGAAGATGCTCTCATGTCTTCCCTGGTCCTTCTCTTCATTAGACTAGCCATACCGAGTATTCGCAACCATTCTTCATGTTTTAACCTCCAGCTTAAAACAGCTACATCTTCAGCTAGAATATGGACTGTTGATTGAGATTCAGCACAATAGATAATCAAAGAACCATAAGCAGTGACAGTAGGCCACTATTTAAGGTGGGAGAGAGATTCTGGGTTTATATTGTTCTCTGGGGATAGAGCCATAGTGGTTCACTTGCTTTTCCTTCTCTCCCAGTACATCATCTCTGGATCCTTAGCGGTGGCAGCTGCTCGGAATCCCAAGATCCCTCTGGTAACTAACCCATTTGACATATGTGAATGACACGTCTTCCTCAGAAATCCTCCATTTCTGGGATCCTGGCATGATCTCCACCCTCTTCAGGAAAGGTTGAAAAAGCGTCTCACCTGAAGCTCTGGACTGCTGCAACCCATCGGGTGGTGGCCAAATAGGAGCTTGGTGGATTTCTGATGTTCCTGGATCACTAACATCAAATGGAATATCACGATGATTCTGTCTTGTTTTTTAAGAGCCTCTCCACTCCAAATTCTTGTCCTGAGTTCCCTTTTTGGAACCCTCCAGGTGTTTTGTGGGGTCATTTTATGCCAGCTTTTGGCAAAGAGGTTGTTTTGTCTCCATCTCTGATTGAATATTCTGATTGGATGAGGCTGTAAGGACTTGGCTCTCCTGTCTCCTCAAAAAAGCAGAACTTTTCAAACAGGCATCATTCAAAAGGAACTTTTATTGTGAGAAAGTGATAGCAAGGAAAGCAAGGCAGGATCTGAACTTCCTGCTCAAAAACCCATTCGATTAAATGTTGCAGAAAACCCCTCCCCTATGTCCAGTCTGAGGTGAGACATGCGAACTTGTTGTGAGAACTCAGCTGAGAAGGTGATAAGTTGTTCTCAGGGGAGCTGAAACAAAACAGATGGCCCCAGGCCAATCCCTCCCCCTCCTATTTCCAAGCAGGTACATCAAAGTGACAGGAAGACCAGGTACATGAACAAGGTTGTAAAAGAGCATCCAAGACTCCCTGCCCCTCCAGAATAGCAGCGTCCCGATTGGGATCTTAGGGACTTGGCAGAGGCAGTTGCTTCCATGGAAGGAAACACCTTGAACCTCTTCCTCCATGCTAGTCGTTCTGGCATGCAAATGAGAGTCTCCAAATTGCACTACTCAAGAAGAGAAAGAAGGAATTCAGCCATTCCTGAGAGTGTAGAGCACAGGTGTCAAACTCGATTTCATTGAGGGCTGCATCAGGGTTGTGTTTGACCTCAGAGGCTGGGTGGACGTGGCTGGGGTGGGAGTGGCCAGCTTGACATCACTTGTGTCAGAGGCACCCTTCCCAGGCTCTGTTTTCGGCTGTGACAGCCACCTGCAGTACTCTGCCAGCAAAAACGGCGTTCAGGAGGGCCACACTGCAGGAGGCCATTGCAGTCGAAAATGGAATCTGGGAGGACCACACACAGCCCTCCCAAACTCAGTTTTCGCTGGCAGAGGCACTGTGGGCTGGTCCTTCACTGTTTCCAGGGTGGCTGCATGGGCGAGATCTAAGCACCCCATGAGCTGGATTTGGCCCACAGGCTGTGGAGAGTGAGGACTCAGATGAGGGGACAGGACATTAGGGAGTGGACTGCTGCCTTCAGAGATTGCGAGGGTTGGCAGCAGTGATGAGGAGATTCCTGAGGAGCCTGTGCCAAGTGCGCGTGTGTGCAGGATTGCTCGTAGGAAAGAGCAGCTACAACAGCAAGGGCGACTTGGGAGTAAGGCTGCAAGGTAATGGCCCCTCCTTCAAGAAGATAAAAGCCAGCTGTGAAAAGAAAGTTCTTTGCAGAAGGCAAAGACGTTTTGAAACTCCAGCCTCGTGGACATTCCAGTATCCTGAGTTTGTATTTGAAGATTGTTGTATTGCAAATTATTTCTTGTCTGTTATGGCAAGTCTCGCACAGTTTGGCAAGGCTTGTGCTTATTACAGCTAATTATTTTGCATTACAAGGTTTCTGTTCCCTTTGGATTGTGTTTGATTTGTTGGAAAAGGGCATGGGTCAGGACAGGTATAGAGAGTAAAAATCTTACCTTTTCTGTTTAAAACAAATTCGGAACTCAAATTCGGAACTCAGCTGAATCTCTTGGCTTGTGTGCCTATTTTTATATGTTTATTAATTTATTTTATCTCTCCTAGGTGCAAGGCACACTGGCAATGAATGTAATAAGTGCCATAACAGCTGGTATTGGCATCATATTCCTGAGTTTCACAATCACATTTTCTAAATATCATTTTATGTACCTTTGCTATCGATCTGGAAACGAATCTGAGGAAACGTCATGTCATGACACTATCGTAAGTCTGTGACTTTCCAGAGTTCCTCTAAAAAGTTGGCTTCAATAGGGCAGAGAAGGCAATTGGCGACCTTTAGCTGGAGATGCAAATCTTGGGAGGACGCGGTGGGGTCAAAAATAGATCTCAAACAGAGTTTTAACCAGGGAATCGAGGGGCAGAAAGGTTGCCTTGGGGTTTCAAGAGTTTGGCCTGCTCTAATTTTCTTTCCCCCAGTCTTTTCAAAACAGCTTCAAGAGTAGTGTTTTCAAGGCATGGCCAAGATTTAAAATGGCAGCTGTATCAGTGCAGCCAAAGTTCTGCCGGGTTTTTATGCGGGGCATAGGAAAATGTGGCCAGAGTTTTAATTGCACTGTTGACACTGGCATTTTACTTTTTTGACCAAATGTTAACTTGTTTTGTTCCACAAAAGTGCGGTTTGCAGTTTTTGTTGGGTAGACTGTGACCAAACTAGATGGTTGGAACCAGTCCCACCTTGACTAGGTGCTAGCTATGCTACCCAAGAGGTATTAGTCATCCCGATCAGGTATGACAAACCAAGAAACCACCTCTGCAGGAAGACAAAGATAGTTTCCCTTCGCACATATGTGCTAGTCGTTTCTGGCTCTAGGGGGCAGTGCTTATCTGTAACAAAACCGAAGAGCCAGCACTGTCAGAAGACGTCTCTGTGGTTATGTGCATGACTAAACACCGAAGGCGCACGGAACGCTGTTACCTTCCCAGCAAAGGTGGTCCCTATTTTTCTACTTGCATTTTTTACGTGCTTTCAAAACTGCTAGGTTGGCAGAAGCTGGGAAAAGCAGCGGGAGCTCACTCTGTTATACAGTGCTAAGGATTTGAACCGCTGAACTGCCGACCGACAAGCTCAGCGTCTTAAGCCATTGAGCCACCACATCCCTTCTGCAGGAAAGCGACTACTAATTTTATTGAAATGGCTGTAATAATAAAATCTTGCAATGTTGATTGGGCTGACCCCTTTCTTATATCACACTCAATTAAGAAGGTGTTGGCCTGAGATACGTTTTAAATATTATCTCGCTGCTCTTGACTTTAAAAAACAAAACTTCATCCTCCTTTTTGCCCAGGCAAGACAGAGCCTGCATATCTAATCTAGGTCATTTCCCTTACTCTAGAATTGAGGATAAATATGCCTATCTCTATTTATAAAAATGGATATGCTACTTTTCTGCTTCATTGATAGCACATCACTGAAGGAATTTTGGCTGTTCTTATTGTGTTCACCACCCTGGAGTTTTGCATCGGCATCTCTCTTGCGTCTTTTGGCTGTAAGATGCTTTGCCGAGATGCCTTCACTGAAACGGTAAGTTTCCAACGGAAGAAGGTTAGTGAATCAAAGGAAAGAGATTCAGAAACATGGCTTGCCAATCAACTTAGGTTCTAGTAGTTCATACATTGTACTAAGTGTGCTGTAAAGAAACAAAACAATAATTTGGCTTCGCACATTATGCTATGTTGCAATTCCTGAGTTATAAATAGTGGTGGTTGGTTCTCATACTGTGATAAACCTAAAGGAAACAAACCACCTTACACATCTCAGTGAGCCCAACCTTCATCTTTAATTGTCAGAGAAGGAGGAAATGTTTTCACCATCAATTAAGACTTACTCAGAGTTGCCTTGAACTGCAAAATGGGCAGCAAATGCATTTGATAATAATAATTTTTAAAAATTGACAATAAGTATCACCTAATCTACACACAGTCCAGGCAACACTTTGGGTAGAATCCCAAAAATGTGTGAGTGTATATAGAGCAATTCTTTCTGGGACTTGGGAAGCAGCACCAGCCATGCAAAAACAGAAAAGGATGCAGCTGCTTTAAAGCAGGGGTCACCAACCTTTTGGACCTCAGGGACCACCAAACTCATAATTTTAAATCCTGCGGACCACTAATATGAATGTTTAATTGACGGTGGTTTGCTGGCATTTTCCCAGGGTCTCTGCATAAAGCAGCAGAGACCCTGGGAAAATCCCCCAAAAAGTCTGCAGGAAAATTCCCCACCCCGTTTTCCTACTGATTGATCTTCTTTATTTGGGATTGCAGGATACCGTTTCCAGCTCTGTTCTCGGGAGAAAGAGAGAGATACTTTTGGCTTCATGCAAGGAAAGCAGCAGAAGCAGCAGAAGTCTTTCTTTCTCTCCCCCAAACTTCTCCAGAAATGAGTCTTTGTGAGACTTGTCGCGCTGGCACAGCCTCTTGGAGCAGGATGCCTTGCAGGGTCCCAGAGACTGATTTCTGTCGGAGTTTGGGGGAGAGAAAGAAAGACTTTTGCTGCTTTCCTTGTGTGCAGCCAAAAGCACAAGAAGAAAGAAGCAGATAGAAGCAGCCCAGTGTCCAGGCAAGGCACGTAGTGGGGTGCATGGGGCAAGTTCCCCCCCTCTGCCCCTTTCCTCCTCCCCTCACTACCTCGTGTTGTTCGCAATGCAAGCGATGCAAGCCTTGTGTTTCTGTGAGCCATGTGGGTAGTGCAGCCTTGTGTTCCCATGTAGCCTGAATTAATTGCTTTGGGGGGTGCTTTGCGGGTGACGTTTCTCTGCGGACCATCAAAATTTTCTCACGGACCACCAGTGGTTCCCAGCCCACTGGGTGGCGACCACTGCTTTAAAGAGAAGCAGCGATGTCTTTATGCTCCAGTGAGAATCCAGATTCCTCTTGGGAATGGAATCAAAAGTGCCTCAGGTCCTTATCTGAAACAAGGAGAGACAGAAGCATTCAACAGACTGCTGGTTAGCTGAGAATTTCTATTCTGAGCTAAAGAATGAGAAATGCATGCAAACAAGTGGCTTAAAATCTCATTATATATTTCTTTAGGTTGTGGTCATTTATCAGAATGCGACTCCTGCCAATGCTGAACATCCATCCATCGACTTCAAAGAGCCAGAATTCCCCTGAGTTGCTTTCCCTTCATGGCAGCTATTATGGGCTGTATTGGCTCCTGCAAAATTAAAGCCTTAAAGCTTTTTAAGGAATTGCATGGAACTTTTTACTCAATGGAATATAAAAATCTTTATTGGGCTAAGTAAAGCGTGATGTAAAAGGTCTTGAGAATGTGAATGTTCTTTGTTGCTGATTATAATATTTCTGTATGGGATGGTTGGCACCTGTACCAAGTTATGTTTTGCCGTTGGAAAATGCAGAGTCAGTGGGTTTATGGAACATGTTACGGATTAACTACACTTTCCACATCATAACGGTTGTGTCTAGGCGAGGTCCAAAACTTACTTCAACTAGAGCTTAGCCTAATGGTTTTTTTGCACCCAGTTACATTCAGGCAACAAATTATGCTTGTGTGAAACCATCTAAGGCTCGCAACACATTCCAGAAATCGATTTGTGAGATGTAACAGGTGTCACTGGGAATCGTTCCCATAAAAGGCTCAGCAACCATATAATCCCATGAAAACGGAAGAGCCAAATGTATAGCCATAATTTACATTTTTAAGCCAATTTGTTTAGCGATTAAAATACCCGGCTAGAAACCAGGAGACTGTGAGTTCTAGTCCCACCTTGTAAAGAAAAGCCAGCTGGGTGACTTTAAGACAGTCCCTCTCTTGGCCCCACTCACTTTGTTGTTGTGGGGAAAACAGGAAGGAATATCAGCTGTGTTCGCTGCCTTAAATTATTTATAAAGACAATAAAGATAGAATACACATCAGAAGACAAACATGTTTCCTGCCACTCGACTTTCCATCAGGCCGCCTTCTGCCAATTAAACTTTTCTCACTCATAATTTGAGACATGACTGCACCCAAGACTAATAAACTTGCTGAACATTTGGCTGGCTGTTTTTAATTTTCTCTAAATGCCACAGAAATAAGGAGGATTGTAGGGGGGTCTCATTGTTTGGGATGCTCTGCTTTCTCTCCCCCTCCCTCCCTCCCTCCCTCTCCCTCCCTCCCTCTCTCTCTCTCTCTCTCTCTCTCTCATTTTGCTGACTCCTCCTCCTCCTCCTCCTCCTCTTTCTTTCTTTCTTTCTTTCTTTCTTTCTTTCTTCTTTTCTTTCTTTTTCTTTCTTTCTTTCTTTCTTTTTTCTTTCTTTCTTTCTTCTTTCTTCCACTTCTACTTCTACTTCTTTAAATGTATTTACTTAGAAGCAATCAGAATGTCAACTTTTTTTTCCTTTCCTTTTTTTCTTTTTGCAATTACAGAGTGGTGTTTAGTTAAAAGAACATTATTTTCTGAAGCACACAACTCAAGATGAATAATACACATGAATAATAATACATAATACACTGCTGTGCTCCAACAAGCACCATGCCAAACCTCCATGCCAATGTACAATCCCCATTCTATACTAGGCAACATGAGTGGCCAGGAGATACCACAACTCTACCATGAGTCGATGAGTCCCAACAATGGATGAAACTTCTCCTGCTGTCTAGTAGTTAAGTGTGCTAACCTGGGGCGTGGCACAAAGGCAACACAGTCAGATAATCAGTAGGAGTCCCTTTATTAGCTCCAACTTTGCCCCCAATGTCCTGGTTACCTTCTGGCTGGAGAAAAACTCTCCCAGGAACAGCCTTTGGCTGCAGAGAATCAAGTCCAAAACGTGGTCAACAAAAACTGTAACTATAAGTCCAATCAAGCCAAAATAAGGTAATTAGTTTGGCAGGGCAGGAGCAAAAATCCCAGATGTGAAGGAACGGCAATAACTCAACACAGTTGGGAAGATGCCAGGAACACAGATAAGTCAACACAAGATAAACTCACGTTTGTTCCCAGCAGTTGTAGCACTCAGCATGCATTTCTTTTAAATATCACCAGGCTTGAAATTTTGGGCTTGGACAACCTTGAACTATATCGCCTACGGTTGGACTTAAGCGTCGAACACAAAATTATCTGCTACAATGTCCTACCAGTCAATGACTACTTCAGCTTCAACTGCAACAATACAAGAGCACACAAGAGATACAAACTCAATGTTAACCGCTCCACACTTGATTGCAGAAAGTACGACTTCAGCAACAGAGTGGTCAATGCCTGGAATGCACTACCTGAAACTATCCACGATTGACCTCATCCCATTCCTAAGAGGTCTGTAAGGAGCGTGCATAAGTGCACCATCGTGCCTACCGCCCCTGTCCTATTGTCCCCATTTATTCGTACTTATTTCATGTATTCTTACTCATGTTTATACTTACACCTATTATCTTGTAAGCGATTGACAAATCAAATAAATAAATAAGTCTGACAAAGGGTCGTAAGTCCCCTTTTCCCAGCCCCTTTGTAACTTCAGTCACTAAAATGAACCGTTGTAAGTCGAGGACTGCCTGTATACAGAATCATTCTGCCCCCAGACATTCAAAGGGGAAGAAGCAAGAAAGGTCTCCATTTAAACCAAAAAATTCAAATCAGATCCTATTGTTTGGGATGCTCTCTCTCTCTCTTCTCTCTCTCTTTGTGCTTTGCAGCAAAGTTTGGAAGGCTTTCAAAGAGATCCAGACACCACGATGCGCCTCTAGACCCGAAGCCAGCCAGCCATGATGTTCCCTGCAACGGAGGCCCAAGTTGGACTTTCGTAGAAGCAGAGATACCGGCTCCTTTGAACCTGGCGATGGAGACAAACTCCGGGCCTCTGCTTCCTCGCAGCACAGATCGCTGGCCCGACTCTCACGGGAGAAGAAAGGGAAGGAGGCGCAAACAAAAGCCCGCCTTTCCATGACATTCAGCCGGTGTAATCACCTCCTCCTTCCCGGGCGGGCCTCGGGCAACGCTCAGCTCCGCGGTTAAGCAGCGGCTGGGCCGGACGGTAAGATGGGGCGAAGCCGAGCCAAGCTTAGCTGGAGCGGAAGGGTCAGCTTCACTCCGAAGGGCAGGGAGGGTGGGAGGGAGGGAAGGCGGCCGCCTCGTTGTTGTTGTTATTGTGTTGTTGTTGCTGTTGCTGTTGTTGTTGTTTGTTGTTGTTGTTGTTGTTGTTGTTGTTAAGTCTTCTTCTTCTTCTTCTTCTTCTTCTTCTTCTTCTTCTTCTTCTTCTTCTTCTTCTTCTTCTTCTTCTTCTTCTTCTTCTTCT